CTGAAGCCCCCCCCCACGCCTCCTTTCCCCCATCCGCCTCTGGGCTCTTTACCCGGTGCTGTTTTCTAATGAGCTTCCACGCAAGCCCAAGCTTTGGTTTTGATGAGGCTTTGTGATAAAACCGAGATGGTTTGGAGCCCGAGAGACCGTGTCTTCGTTTTGTGAGCGTGACTACTGGCGGAGAGCTCACCGTAGGGTCTCCTACGGCATTTCTCCTACGTAGGCCACTGAGACGACATTACCAACGGATGCTCTCCTAAGGGCTCCCGAGCTCACCCCACCCGGCTCAGCCCGGATCCATCCCCCCCGAAGACACCGACGCTACCCTAGCAGTAGCGTGCGGATCACTCCGGAGCTCAGCACAGACAGTTCGTGTGCTCCGCGCCCTCCCGCGCCACCAGGTACCGCGTCCCCAGGCGCGGGGGCACCCACGAGGAGGAGGCAGAGTGTGGGCGAAGCCAAGCGGGGGCATGGAGGAGAGGGGCTGCCCTTGGCCGGTCCCCCCGGGCCGTGCACGGCACAGGTACGGCCGACCGAGCACCGGGCGGTCAATTAGAGGGAGCGGTGCCACCTTCACCCTTTTCCCAGGTAAAAAGACGCAGGGTATTCAAGACTGTAAGGAATCTGTCCCTGGAAAGAAGGAGGCAGGCAAAGCAAGGCAGAGAGATCCTACCTTGCTCATCGAGGAGGATGTTGTCTGGTTTTACATCTCTGGGAAGAGAAGCAAGGTTACAGCAAGATGAAATCTCAGTCAGATCAAGGATGCGACTCAACAGCAAAAAACCTACAACTTCTTTATCTATCAAAAATTAGAGAAAAATACAGCAAAAATACCCTAACGTGAGACAGGTCCCTTTATGAGGGACTAGGAATACACTTTTCCCAGGCAACTGGGCAAAAAAGTGGGAGCATCTGACTTGTTCAGGCACCATTTCTAAGGAAGGGCTGGGCCCATTTCTGCGGGATTGCTTTGAAACCCGCCCTGGAAGGCGCTTTCAGCTCCCCGGCGAGGTGTGAGGCTTCCTCCGGGCGTCGGGGGGCAGCAGGACCAGCAGCCGGAGGGCGCCCAGGACCGGCACGGCTCAATGCCAGCTGTTGCCCAACCTGGGGTACCGCTGGGGTTAAGGACCTCACTGCCGCAGCATCGCCCACCCCAAACCAGCGCGGTGCACGGGCAGCTCCCGACTGCGAGGAAGAGGGGGGTGGTTACCTGTGGATGATGTGCTGGCTTCGCAGGTAGTCGAGAGCCAGCGCCATCTCGCAGATGTAGAGCTTGACTGTTTCTTCCGTGAACTGAACGTTTTGCTGCAGGTGGTAGCGCAGGTCGCCACCAAGAAGCAAGTCCACCACCATGAACATGTCCTCCTCGTCCTGGAAGGAGTACCTGCGGGGCCGGCGAGCAGGCTGAGCCTCACGGCACTCACAAAGCCAGGGCAGGATTTTCCCCTCTCCTAATCACACAGCTCTGGCGAAAACTGCAAACGCTCCCACCACGAACACCCGCCCGCCTCGGTGCTCACACCTTGCCAATTAAGCAAGCGCAACTCAAGTCCCCGTCTTGGTTTTTTACCCCATTCCTCCCCTTGGGAGAGGTTCGTGTCCCTGTTAACTGCCTCCCACTGGCTGTGCCACCATCGCCCCCCCGGCGCCGCCGCGTCACCCCACCGGCCGGCAGAGCCGGGGCTTTGCTCACCAGCTACGTCAGAGCATTTTGCGTTTCCAACCGTGAACAGTCTGGTAAACCTATCCTTAAAATATCTCTGCCTATCCTGAAAAAAGAACTGGAAAACACAAGTGCTAATTTAATCGCAAAAACCAGGAAAAGAGATTTACATTTACTGTGGAGTAAAACGCCTCTCCAAGCCTCCAGCGGATCCTGCGGGAGACTGACAGCAGCGAGGATACGCTGCGGAACAACGCTCAATGGTTGCATTTGGTGACTGCATTTCCAAGCAAGAGCACGTGGGTCGTGCCATACTGATGCAGCACACACTTCTGCGCTCATCTTAACCGTAGGCTTATTCAGAAAGTACGAGCCAAAAGGGAAAAATTTGCTACGAGAGCAAATTTTCTTAAGGATTTCATCACTTGCTGGAAAAAAAAATATTTGCAATTGCTACAATGCTGAAAAAAATCAATATTTATTTATTGGGCTACTCTGGAGTAGCATATCAACAAAGAGAACGGGAAGCGTTACCGACTTGTACCCCCTTGTGGATAAAGCTTGCTGAATTTTCGGAAGCCTTCCTGCCTACCAACCCGCTGTGCATGTGGGGTGGCCGGGGTGGGGGGCTGCTGGTGCCCAGCCCCCTGCCCGGGGCTCGGCCTCCCTGCCTACCCGGGGCACGCCGCTTTCCCGGGAAAAGCTGTCACTTCCCCAGGGAGACTGGCCAAGGGCAGTCAGATCAAGGATGTAACTCAACAACAAAAACCCTACAACTTCTTTATCTACCAAAAATTAGAGAAAAATACAGCAAAAATACCCTAACGTGAGACAGGTCCCTTTATGAGGGACTAGAAATGCGCTTTTCCTGGGCAACACAGTAAAAAATGGCACGTGGGATACCTCGGCTCCCCTACAACCGTACCAACCCCCCCCCGCACCCCTGGGTGTACGCCCACGGAGCCGCCTTCGCGGTGCCTGCACAGAGCCAGACGTGGTCAGGGTTTAAACCGCCCGGGTTAGGACCTACCTCAGCAACACTCTATGAACACCCTGGCTCCCGCCGAGGGCCAGTCTGCTTATTTAAACATTAGCCCGTCTGTGCAAGATCGAGTCCTTTAGTGGGGCCAACTACTGTGTGAAACACCACGTATTTTGTATAATTTTTGCATTAATAGAAGTTGCAAATCACCACCTCTACAAGCGTTAGATTCTTTGACTTTTCAAGCTGTTATTTGCTGCAAAAATTGCCCCCATGCAGTATCTGCTTCACCGCAGACCCAGTTCTCGGTCTCTCCACGCCCTGGAGATGACCATTTCCTTAACGGCGGTCACCGGGAGCATCGCGCTGCCCCAAGCCACCCCAGTCAAACTGCACGCTAACGCACCACGGCACAAAAATGTTGTGTGGTCAAACGACGGGAGGGCCCAACCCCCCTGCAGGAGCAGGGACACCTTGAACCACATCAGGTTGCTCACAGCCCCGGCCAACCTGGCCTGGAATGTTCCCAGGGATGGGGCCTCCACCCCCTCTCTGGGCAACCCCTGCCAGGGTTTCACCACCCTCACTGGAAAGAATTTCTTCCTTAGATCCAGTCTAAACCTCCCCTGCTTCAGTTTAAAGCCATCCCCCCTTGTCCTGTCCCAGCTGGCCCTACTAAAAAGCTTGTCCCCCCCTTTCCTCTGGGCCCCCTTGAAGCCCTGACCGGCCGCACTCAGCTCTGCCCGCAGCCTTCTCTTCTCCAGGCTGAACACCCCCAACTCTCCCAGCCTGGCCCCAGAGCAGAGGGGCTCCAGCCCTCGGAGCATTTTAGTAGCCCCCCTCTGGCCCCGCTCCAACAGGTTTTTGACCAAAAAGGAGAAGCTAAGCTGTTCTAACGCGTTTGATGCTGTAACATTTGGATTCCTTCTGTGCTAGGCTTCCTGCGCGCATCGCACGTGACGGTGGCCCTCCACGGCAGCAGCTCACCGGGGTGCCCCCGCGGGTGCCCTCGACCCCGGCAGGACGGGGAGAGCATGGCTCTGCCAGCACCTGAGGGCAGGCGGCCCCGGAAGGCAGAAGGCAAGGGGATGCTCACCAGAGGTTCACCAGGAACACGTGCTCGATCTCCTGCAGGATTTCCAGCTCCCTGAAGACGTTGCGAACCTCATCTCTTTCGATGCACTGCTGTTTGTTCATGTACTTCATGGCGTACATCTTCTCGGTGTCTCTCTTCTGCACGATACACACCTGGAGCACCGCAGGAGGGCAAGGTCAAAAAGAGATTCAGTAAAACGCTCCCCATCCTCACCTGCTGCTTTACCAGGCTGAGACCCGCCCCGCTCAGCACCTCCACCCCGCCACCGCACGTTCCTGACCCTGGGCCATGACTCGGGACGTACGGACACAAGCGTCCCCGCTGCGAGGGCCGCGCCCACGCGCTCCCCGTCCCGTCCCACCCCACCCCAGGCGCCCTTAACCGCGCAGCCCCGCAGGAGCTTCCTCGGGGACGTGGTGCCCAGCTCCGGGGAGAGCTTTCCAGCAGGGAACGGGCTCTGGGAGCGGTGGGAGAGCGTGTTGTGCTCGCTGCCCCCAAACGGGGGCCGCGTTGGGCAC